ACATATATATGGAATTTAAGAAAAAAAAAATGTCATGAAGAACCTAGGGGTAAGACAGGAATAAAGACACAGACCTACTAGAGAATGGACTTGAGGATATGGGGAGGGCAAAGGGTGAGCTGTGACAAAGCGAGAGAGAGGCATGGACATATATACACTACCAAACGTAAGGTAGATAGCTAGTGGGAAGCAGCCGCATAGCACGGGGAGATCAGCTCGGTGCTTTGTGACCGCCTGGAGAGGTGGGACAGGGAGGGTGGGAGGGAGGGAGACGCAAGAGGGAAGAGATATGGGGATATATGTATATGTATAACTGATTCACTTTGTTATAAAGCAGAAACTGACACACCATTGTAAAGCAATTATCCTCCAATAAAGATATTAAAAAAACCCTCATTCTTTCCCAAAAAAAAAAAAAAAAAAAAAAAAAAGAAATGGATGTTCCAGAGAATTTGCTGTCTTTTCTCTCCCCTCCCTAGGGGCTTTAAAGGAACTGTTAGACCCTGAGCCAGCCTTTCCTGATGTGGTGGCAGTGAGACAGTCCCCTTGTCCATCAGCCTGTCCTGGCCTCTCATCCTCCCAGGAGAGGTTCATTCCTCGGAACCAGTGACCTGTCCCCATCCTTCATGTCAACAAGTCTGAGTGTCTCCATGGGTCAGGTACTAAGGAGCAGAACATTAAGTATTTTTGGTCATCAAAACCTTGCTGTCATCAAAATTAGACATTTTTGTACATCAAAGGACACTATTAAGGGAGTGAAAAGACAACCCCCAGAAAGGGAGAAAACGTCTGCAAATTATATATCTGATAAGTGCCTAGTGTCCAGAATGTATAAAGAACTCCTACAACTCAACAACAAAAAAAAAACAATGCACCCGGGGCTTCCCTGGTGGCGCAGTGGTTGAGAGTCCGCCTGCCAATGCAGGGGACACAGGTTCGAGCCCTGGTCTGGGAGGATCCCACATGCCGCGGAGCAACTAGGCCCGTGCACCACAACTACTGAGCCTGCGCTCTAGAGCCTGCGAGCCACAACTACTGAGCCTGCGCGTCTGGAGCCTGTGCTCCGCAACAACAGAGGATGCGATAGTGAGAGGCCCTCGCACCGCGATGAAGAGTGGCCCCCGCTCGCCGCAACTGGAGAAAGCCCTCGCACAGAAACGAAAACCCAACACAGCCAAATAATTAATTAATTAATTAACTCCTACCCCAACACCTTCTTTAAAAAAAAAAAATGCACTTAAAAAACGAATAGACATTTTTCCCAAGAAGACATATATACAAATGGCCAATATGTACATGAAAAGATGCTCAATGTCATTAGGGAACAACAAATCAAAACCACAGTGAGATGCCACTTCACATCCACTAGGATGGCAATAATAATAACAACAACAAATGGAAAGTAACAAGTGCTGGAGGGGAGGTGGAGAAATGAAAACCCTCATACATTGCTGGTGGGAGTGTAAAATGGCGCAGCCACCGTGGAAAACAGTTTCACCGTTCCTCATTAAGTTAAATAGAGGATTACCAAATGACCCAGCAATTCCACTCCTAGGTATCTACCCAAAAGAACTGAAGACAGGTGTTTAAACAAAAACGTGTACACGTGAATGTCCACAGCAGTACTACTTACAGTAGCCAAAAGGTGGTAACCACCCAAATGTCTACCAACAGATGAATGGATAAACAAAACCTGGTCTAGCCATGCAATGGATTATTATTCAGCCACAAAAAGGAACGAGGTACTGACACATGCTACAACGTGGATAAACCTTCAAAATGATATGCTGGGTGAGAGAAGTAAGACACAGAAGGCCACATTTTGTATGATTCCATTTATATGAAAAGTCCAGAACAGGCAAATCTATAGAGACAGAAAGCAGATTAGCCAGGAGCTGGGTGGAGAGTGACAGCTACTGGTATGAGGTTTCTGTTTGGGGTGATGAAAAAGTTCTGGAACACAAGAGTTAAACTAAGCCATAACAGATACTAGAGGAAAATATAGGTGAATCCTACAATCTGGGTTTAGGGACAGGCTGTCTACTGATGCCTAAGTGCTCACTGTACTGTTGAAGGACCATTTCCACGTCTCTTGAGAATTGTCTGTTCATGTCTTTTGCCATATATCACCTCAAAGATATCATTTTTTTTTTACAGCTACCTAATACTCCACTGTGTGGATGCACCTTCTTTATCTTATCCAACTACTCTCCTGTACGTAAGCGTATTTCTAGTACGTCTGCCAAGAAGGCTTAGAAGCCATGACACCTCAGTTGCAATGAGCACAATTTGGATCTTATTTCTAAATACTTTTCGCCACTGAAAGTAACAAGGGCTCTTTGGAGAAATGGCTGATTCAGGGACTGTGGCAGGGAAAGCACAAGATGAGGCGGGACGGTTTTGTTGCACCAGAAAATAAGAAGTGCTTACAGCATGCTGGGGGCAGACATGAGACACAGGGGCCAGCCTGAAGGGGCTCCTGCTGGCCAACAGGACAACTGGAGCATCAAAACATGAAAATGACAGACTGAAACCTGCTGAATAAAATATAAACCCATGAGTATGTACCTACGTACATACATAAGGAGAAAAGGAAAATTTCTTCCTTAGGGGAAATTCCAACCAATCAACGTAGAATTAGTGATAATATCAGAAAATCACCTTGGCAACCACCGCTGTAATAATTCAGGCAGAATAAATGACTGATGCTAAAACTAGCAAGTGAAAGCTTGATGAGAAAGAAGGTATTTAAATGATTCTAAAAGTAGCTCCCCATGAAACATTTATCGCTTATAAAGGGAAAAGTAATAACTTTCTGAACTGGGACAGACACCTCCCTTAACCAAGCAATCAGTTAGTGTCATCCAGAATGGGTCAGCGTGACATCAAGTGCTCCCCGCTGTGATGCCAGGACAGGACGCCAGACGCACGGCCCTCCTGCCCAACCAGCTGACCTGAATCGAATCCTGAGGAAACGTCAGATGAACCCAGAGTGAAGGACGGTCTACACAGTAACTGGCCTGTGCAGTCTTGAAAAATGTCACGAAGACAGGATTGAAGGAGGCTCCGGATCGAGAGGGACCGCGGAGAAAGGACCACCAAACACAGCACGTGACGGGGGTTTCCTCTTCCAAAAATGTCACTGAGACACTCTGTGAACCGAGAATAAAGTCTGCAGCTCAGTGAACATGGTTGTATTAATGTTAATTTCCCGGTTTTGATAATTAAACCGTAGTGAGGAGAATGTCCCTGTTTTTATGAAATGTGCACTGAAGTACTTAGGGGTCAGGGGACATTATGACTGAAACTTCTTCTTGATGGTTCAGATTTCATATAAACACACACAAATGTATGTGTACTGAAAAGCGGGGGGTGAACATAAGCAAATGTGGTAACAAAATGTTAACACTGGGGCATCTGGATGAAAGGTATGTGAGAATTCTTTGTACTATCTTTGCAACTTTTATGTAAGTTTGAAATTGTCAAAATAAAATCTTACTTTTAAAGAGGAATTAAGAAGTGGTCCAAGCAAGAATGCAGCGTTTGCTAGGATCTCCTTTTACTGCGTCCTGTGGTAGAATCATCGCCCAAGCAGCCCTTAGAGGACTAGAGAGCTCTATAATTTGCTGAGGGAAAGGAGATGTTTTTCTGTGGCTTCTCCCAAATAATAATAATAATTGCTGACCCCTGCAACCCGGCGCAGCCTGGGGCCCACATCGGCTCCTTTGGGGTCGTCTGTGTGGTGGCCAGCAGAGGGCACTCTCCCCGGGGACCACACTGGGTGCCAGGCCACATAACTCTGCAATGTGTTGGCTGAACTTTTCAGGAAACTTGGATGCCACACATACTTTTCCTTTCTTTGCGGGCAGGCAAGATGAGTCACGTTTTTCTGAAGTCTGCTCAGCCCCAGGATTCAGACCTGACCAGCTGCCTGGATGCAGAGGGCTCCGGTGTGGGCTGGGGAGTGCAGGGCCCAGCGCCCTCAGCCTCGGGACCGGGAGGCGGAGCACGGGCAAGCAGGGAGCACCTCCCTCAACCAGGCACAGGGCAGAACACACACGACTCTGGATCGCATGACATTTGGGGACAGACCCAGGGCCACTGGTACAAGTGACCGCAAGCAGCCCCAGCGGCCCAAGTCCTCTCCCACCTCACGGGCTGCCTCACCCCGAGCCCAGAGCCCGCCCTCCAGCCCCGAGCACCCATTCGTCGGTTCAACCACTCTGTCCTGCCTTCCCTCAAATGGCCACCGACCACGGGACATCGGGGCGGGAACTGAGGGCAGGGGCAATGCCTGCGCGGCCACCCGCGACAGGAGTTGGTGCAGCTTCCCCAGAGGCACGCATGAGATGGAAACTGGTGGGATGCAATTCAGAGATGTTCTTGGGATCAGCATCCACAACCAGGGAAGGGGAAGGGGAAGAAGTCGGCCAGGGGCGAAGGTGAGGGGCCACATAGACCCGGCGAGGGCCCTACAGAAAGCTCGGGGGCGGGGACAGCCCTGGGAGCCGTCGGGAGTGGGGTTAGGGGCCGGTCCTTTACAGCTGCTCACTGACAAGCTGCGGGGCGCAGGCCGGCTCAGGAAGGGCCATGGCA